CCATTTATGTAACCCAACTAGCTCAGGAAAAATATTTAATGTAACTTTCAATGCTCCAGGTAGAGTAGGGGTGGTCCATATACTCGTATGAAATCATACCAGATCATAATGTCCAGGGGTAACCAGTACCTAGTCATGTTTGAGAGGGCGCCACCTTGTTGTAATAGCTTCTGAATTGCCAGTTGTAAAACAAGGAAACAATGGCAAGCTAGTGTGATGGAATTATTAATTATACTAAGTGCCAGGATTAAAAAAAATAACAAGTGTTATCCTCCATCCATATAATGAAACTCAGAATTGAATAATATACCACAAGAAACAGGATACACAATTAATATAGCAGCATGAGAGAGTTCATATAAGTCTGGCTATTATTCCACTTAAATATTAATAAATTGCAATAATCAATACACACAGTGATAATCAAATACCTGTATCAAAATGTTATCAACGAAACATTCCAAATAGGTAGAATATCTATGTAACAACCTTATCCTAAAATATTAACATCAACCACAATTTTATCTAAGATTAATTTCAAATAAAAGTTTCTACTGATGGGAAGCGCTTCCTTTCATTTTTTTTTTTTTTTATTTTCAAAAATTTTCCAAACTCAGCAGAACACAAAGTTACTCTGAAATGTTATATCTCTTTTGACACATAAAATAGATACACAAATAAACAGATGACACCTAGACAAAACACTTATATAATCTTAAATCTACCCAGTTGTCTGCTAGCTTGATCCTCCACTCACAACACAAAAGTCCTAGTCAGTTCAAAAGTTCTGAATAAAAAATATTCCGCTAAATTCATCTAAGTCCCACTGCCGAAGATTTAATCAAAATTTATTCTCAACTCTCATAGGCTAAATTGACTCTGATTAATTAAATCCAAATGGCTCTCAAAATTCAATCAAACTAATTCAGAGAGAAATATCTGTTGATAATCCAGAGTAGGTAACACTTTCTTCTGTTTAAGTAAATAATAATCTCAGTTAACTTCTCAAGAGTTAGTTTTCAAAGTTCTCAGCAAGCTTAATAACTAGCACTCAGCTGACAATTTTGTTGGTGGGCAGATCCGTAGCTAACGTTAGGTCTGAACTACCAGTAGCAGCATCCCTGATGGAGTTGAGCCGCAGTTGGACCACAGACAGTCTTAGTGGGGGAGGGTGTTGGGCGATGACACAGATGTGGCAACCAAGACCGGAAACCCTAAATATTCCAATACATAATAAAATTTGTCCCAAAATATTCTATACATAAATTTACATAAATACAGTGTAATCAATCAATGTTTATACTTTTCCTTCCATAACTCAAAATGATTACTAATCTCAGAATAATCAACATTTGACATTAATATTTGTACAATAAATCTCACACAATAGTTTAAAATCTTTCAGAACATACTATAGTTGAAAAATAATACGGTTTTGATTTTAACATAAAATACACTGATTTGCACATCTGAATTCTACTCAACACTAAATATTTCTTTTTTTTCAGAACAAAAATATACTCTTTTTGGCAACACTTTACTAATGATAAAATTTGTCTGACAAAGCCTAGCCTAGGTATATTTTCCCAAATTGAAATTGTTTAGTCTAATAGGCAGTACTGATATAAATTTGACTTCAAGAATAAAATATTTGCACATTGGATATGGCTTGATTTAATATTTAAACTAACAGAAAGATTAAATACAATTTGAATACTCACAGTTACATATTGACAGACAGGTACATGAAACTTTACATAACTCTGACACAAATTAAATTATAACACAAAGATATTTTAAATTGAGCTTTACACAAAATTCAATAATTAATTTTCAAGGACAATGAAACATCTGGTTGACTTTATATTTTCTCAACAAATAATATTTTACATTTTACTTCAAAGTTAAAAAAATCAGACAGAGTTAAATTTACTAGTCACATGGTAGCTAAACAAGTTTTAACACAAATTTGAGGGTCAATGTTACAACATGATCTAACACAGTTAAATTCAGACATCTACACAAAGAAGATCTACACAATTTTACCTTTAACCAATCTATGAAATCAATTTAAGATATGATTTTTAAAATATTTTGCAAAGGGAAATTTAATCCTACAAACAATAATTATTTTCCATGACAAAATTACTAGCTACTATTCATGAATATTCATAAGCTGTTCTTGACCTTTTGAATAAAATTGAAGGATAAAATTTGTATTTATTCATTTCTATTAAAAGAGGAAATAATTTTGAAAAACTAGGTTTACTATTTCAAAAGTATAAAATTAACTAATAATCCATCACACAGCTTACCATGCCTCCTAAAATCCGTTGCTCGAAGAAGGATGGGTTATTGAAGTGTAGTACATTCTTCTGTGGTCAACTTCCTTCTAACCATGTACGTGGACAGGGGAAGCAATAGGGTATTGAAACAATCCCAGACAGGTATGAGTCAAGGTCCAGCTGATAAAGGTTGGAGCGCGCTTCCAACAATAGATAAGGAAATAAGTTGTCCGGTGGCCAGCCAAAACAACTAACTATTGGCCTTGAGTAAATAATATCTGTCTGTATGACCGTTACAAGCTCGTTCGCTACGCTAACTCGCCTCCAGGTTGAAGTTCGTTCGCTACGCTCACTCACCTTTTGGTTGCAAATTAGCTGTTCTCATAATTTAAAAAATATAGTGCTGCACCCTGTTGGTAAACCTATTAACTTTTTAATGCTATTGAACATCACAGGATCAAATTGTTTAGTTGAACCATATGTTAAGATTCTTTGATTCCATTTAAATATGAGTACTCATAAGGTTAACATGGGAAACTCCAGAGCCACTGGGGCGGAGCCCTTTTGACGGATCTGCACCAAACTTCACACAAACCATCCTTGAATAATGCTTAATAATGCCTGAAAGTTTCATTACAATCTGTCGAGCGGTTTTGGAGTCCATAAAGGACAAACATACAAACAAACATACATTGGATTTTATATATATAGATGAATTAAATGGGTTTTCTAAACAAAATTAATCCAACGAAAACGCGCCTACTATTTTTTTGATGTTCACCTATTTCGTTTAAAATAATTAGTCAATAAGTCAAGGGGGTGTTTTTTACACTTTTCTTTGTTGAATTTATTGATTTTTACGTTTCTAGTGTGTTCTGGTGTGTCTGTGTGTGTGTGCGTCACATTAATTCAAAAGGAGAAAAATTTTCGGGGATCACTCTATATATAAAATATAGTTCTCTAAATATTTCGACAACTAATTATATTAATTAACTATATTTCATGTATACTAAACATTTTAACACAAATAGATATGTTTACAAATATGTATTCAATGTTGAGTGATCAAGGAGTTGATTTTCTTAAGATTATACACGTGTGTATGCAAAGAACACATGTATATGTATATTATGGTATGTATATACATAACTAATATCTTCAACCCCACAATCAACAATACTGGGTACTAGATAAATATATTACTACTTAATAAGAATGCAACATTCTTCGGCGATCACTTTGAAATACAGTATTGCCTTTTAAAAACATGATGAACGTGTGCGAGGAAACATATGAACAACAGGAAAAATGTGCGAGTGGGAGGCAGACAACGTTATCGTCAGGTGCATACGTTTTTCTGTCAGTCACCATTCATCAGTATATCGTGTGTGTCAGGTGATTATTTAGAAGTTCAAATACATCACCATGAGAACAAATAACAAAATACCTGTTTGGAGCCCGTATGAAGGTCTTTATTGTGTAACTTGTAAATAATGAGTACATACAATTTACGCCTCACCTTGCTAAAGAATAACATTATATGTATTGAAATATATTAATTCCATTTTTGTGTGTAGTTATTAAAATGTATATAGAGTAAGAAAAATAAAGTATTGTAAAAGTGTTATATCTACTAGGTATTTGTAAAATCTCAAGCAGCACACAACCTTTCATAATAAACATTACATGGTCTGTTATGAACAACACGCACTGGTAATTTATTTTATTAAAAGTACCAAAAGAACTAATATAACTAATATACTGTACTTATAATATAACTAGGCGTTTTATTGTTTAATATTGGTAGTATGATACAGGAACACTTGAAAAGTACCATAGGTATTTTTAAGCTTTTATTTGTATTAACGTAACCCAAAGGTACATTTTACTGTATACACATCATTACATGATTAAATAAAGATTGTTAGTTTGATGGAGTTTTGGCGGATGTAAAAAGCCGTTTAGTGTGACCATGTCTTAAATAAGTAAAGTTTGGTATATTGGGACTACTTAAATCAACAGGTGATGATGTTTACCATCACGAGATGAAGACACTATATAATCAATAAGTCTACATTTCCAGGTCACTCTATTGACACCATATGCAACAAATATACATATACAAACGTTACTACTGTACAAATACTGGTAAAATTAAATAAACACTAAGCACCATAGTTTTCAATTTTCTTAACATAAAAATTATTATGCTAAATCATCTTTAAATAAGAATTATTATTCCTTTTATATTTTTAAAAGTTTGAAAAAATAACTCTTTGTACAGTATTCAAGTAAGTCGAATTGCTAGATAGAAAACAGTTTCCATATTTTAAGGTCTTAATTATAAGACAACCTTACAGATCAAGTGTACATCCTACTTTATATCCGTTGCTTTTAGTATCTAGGTTGAAATTAAATTTTTAGTTTTATTTAAGAACAAACATCAATTGTACTTCGATACTAAAGAAGAAGAAGAACAAGTATAGATGGCTCTCGACATTTGTTAATAAGTCTTGAAATGTCTGACTGACGTAATTATTAAACTATACAATACAATAGTAATTTATTGTCCTTTTTGTTATTACTTAAAATATAATAATATTATTTGGTACTGATAAACTAAATTATACGTTAACAATTAAAGAATGAGTTTGCTATTAAATAAAATAAGTGAATAATATTTTAAAACAAATATACGTAAATTTCAATCAAAATATGGACGGTAAGTTGGTGTTTTTGTTTTGAAAGCCACTGACACGTCCTGTAGTTGATGCTTTCCCAATACTTCTCCCTCAACTTTTACTTGCCGCAAGCCATTCATCTACTTAATCTCTCTGATTAAATTTCAACACATAAACTCATTATCGATGTAAGTAATTAACTATATTTCATTATTAGTAACTATTAGGAAACGTGGCGTATATCTAAGGGTTTAGTTTATAGATGCAGTAGTAAAAATTATTTTTTCAAACATGTTTTATATTATAAAGTTATAAGGTTTGGATAAATTAATTCACGCGATTGATTTCTTAAATAATTGTCAGTTTAAATATTTCAGTTCTTAATATCAGCCTTCAAAATATAGCTTAAAACCTTAACCTATGCTCTTTGTATAAAATATCAATAAGGCACCTAAATGTAGTTGGTGTACAGTACACTATTTTCATACAAGTGTAAAAGAATTATTGTGTAAAAATACAAAATGACAAATATATAGAAATTAACTTATCACCCTTTAATTTATTTTTCTATTCCAGACGCTATAGTAAAATATTATATACCCTAATAACAATCTTTTGTCCTAAAATCTTTCAATTTGCTAAACTCTTATTAATTAACTTTTCCCTTAAAAGTTAGTTTATAGGCTACCATCACATAAGCCTAAATACCAAAGTCTGGCACAAAAAGTTCACTGTAACAAATAAGCTTATTTGGAATAAATTCTAATACTGTACTTAGCTAGTTCATACTAATAACTGGTAAAGTACCCTAGATTTTCACTATCCCATGTAGTATTCACTGAGGAAAAGCAGCACAGCAAATACATGGTCTGTAACACGCATGTGGTTGGTAATTCTATAATCTGAACTGATGCATGATTGAGCTACCTACACGTGACCAAACAACAAGCCTAACAACCGATCACCACAGTAATGAATTGATTAGTGGTAGTAACTCCATGAGTCACACGTATTTATTAAACAAAATGTAAATATGCTAACGTATGGTTTCAATCTAATTACATTAGAAATTGATTGTTTGAAGAATTACTTAAAGACCAATCCACCATTATGGTCGGTGGGTTGAAATTATACATGAAAAAACACACATACAATAAATGAAAACTACGTTTGGTGGCAGTTGTCAAATATAAGGTGTATTATTACTGTAAATAGTACCAAAACGCAAGTTATATTACAGTGTTTGGCAAATTACAAGAATTTTGCAAGACGTATTACAACAACTTACCTTATTTTTGCTGATGTCTACCTCGATCCTAATATGAACTAAATGAACAAAAACATCTACTTTTGAAATATAAATTCAAATGGTAAATATATTTATTTACGGTGTAATAGAATCTTGGCCTTGCCATGGCAATTATAGGCTAGTTATCAAATGATAACTAGCCTATAATTGCCATGGTTTTATTTACTTATAACAAAGTGTTGTATAGAATAATTAGTTCTTAGGCAGTTTGAGGCAGGAACTTGCCAAAAATATAGAACTTCAATTAAAATTGTATTGATTGCTTTTATATGACTACATATATTAAACCAAACTTTTTTTGTGTAACTCTAACTGATGTGTTAAAGGAATTAATTATACCTTCGGCTTCTCTATTATTTATTGAGAATTAAATTAAATGTGCAAAATAAACTGCAAAATACTTTCAGTGTCCTATCCTTTACACTATGTATGCTCTTTCGTACTTAAACTTATAAAATATCGTTTGAATATTTCATATAATACATTACTAGTTTAATACATAATTACTCAAACTAGATTTTAATGTCTTATAAACAGGGTATTGTACCGAAGTAGCCTAGTGCTAGTGTTTAGTTATAGACAACGTCAATAGAACACTCTATGTGTTGACCTACAGCTATACTGGTGTCTCAGATAATATTAGTCTAACATGTACAATAACAGGTATATACAATACCATTACTAGTCTAAGTACAACGTATTCCCAAATACAAAGCCCGTGTGCAGAGTTGTATACATACAGTATTTGTGTTTCTATTATTGTTTAAATTTTAACTAATACGCTTCTGATTGCGCAGGATTTCTATAGTTGCATATAATTAATATTTAATCTGGGGCTCCAGGCTTCCAAGTGGAAAAATCTCCAAAAATGTATTAGAGGCTTCAAAGCTATTAGATTGTGCAAAGATGTATTTATAGTTTCTTTGCTAATCACCACTCGATACATTTTACTTCACAAAAACTTTTTATTTTTACCATTTATGAGCTCTTAATGACTATATGTTGTTAAATAAATAGTCTACATGCCATGTTTAATGGATAGAAAGGCTTGATATTGTTATCTCAATGAAGCAGTTATTTGTGGTTTTTGGAATATTGTAATAGGATGGTTTTTTAAATTTAATTTTCAGCAAAGATATTGGTGGTGACTTTTTACTTAACGTTCGCCCTCCATATGGGTCTCTGGCCTGCACTTATAAATCCTTAAGCAAAGCGAGGGGTATGTTGACACGAATGAACTTCACTGACAAACATTCTTTTTGCAATACAATATTTTTATTGATACACCATCTTACCTAATATACGTATAAGTAAACACATTGACCCTCTAAAAACAAATTATAAACTTATAAAACATAACTGTATGAATTCCTTAGTATCTTGTAATAACACGTAACTGTTAACTTTCACGTTTTGTAGTCATAATCCATTTGCAACCCACTTAGCTAGTAAACCGTTGTGGGGACAGTAGTAAATAGACAGTGTAATGGGTCGACATCCGTGTAAACATGTTGTCATAAACTAAGTTATGTCGTTAATAAACTTGTTGTTACACCGTAATTATGGTTGTCACTGTGTCTACAGTGATATGTCGTTCTTATTTGTTCAGCTTAAATAGCCTACCTAAATATAAAATAAAAAAAACTAATTGGACTAACCTTTTATTTGCCAAAACTCTGCAAAATAAACTTAATGGTAAATATAAAAACGGCGATGAAAAACCTTTCAAACATATTCAAATCTAGTGCAATTTACTTTATTCAAGAAATCAACAGTTTTCTATTGATATTCCTGGAACACTCATGCAATTCTGTTATGTGCAAACATAAATATTAGTATTTTTAAAACTAATTCTCTTATTTTAAATTTTAGGAAGGTTTATTGTTTTCAGCAAAAAAAAAAAGAAAAAAAAAACAGTATATATTATAACGATTATGTAAAAATTATAACAGATTATTAGTAATAAAACATACAGATTTGTATACGCTTCATAATTACAATATTGAGTCTTATTACAATCCCAATAGAGATTTTGTAATTTTATAATTATCAACTGTTTCGTTTAACATAATTGAACGTTGTGTTTTGAAATTATAGTATTCAACGTTTTTCTAAAACAAGCCTACAAATATAACTATTCATTACTACTTTTTTTTAATAAAAACTATGTTGTATTTTGTCGAGGCAACATAATGTTGATTTAATATTCTGAAGGTAAGAGCTACAAAGGGACGGTAAAGGTCGAGTTTAGTCAAACCTTTGGTCCACAGTCGCCCGCAGCACCTACTGACCCGTATATTGTAGCTGCTAATTAACTAGGACTACAGTATTTGGAAAGTGAACAAGAATCAAAATTCAGCAATAAACAAGGCAAGATGATAGACAAATGATTTATTTCCACCAAAGGTTTTGGGTAACGAAGCTCAATAATCATTTTAAATTATACAGATTAATCTTTCAGTATTCTTTTTATTTTCCCAATAACTAAACTTTTACCAGTTTATAAAGAGTGAATTTAGTTATTGTATGAATTATCACTAACTAAAGTTTTGATATAACAATAAAAATAAAACAACACTTTATTTGAAAATTTTAATAAGACAGCAGTACATAAATAATAATAATAATTAAGATATATGATACTTATTAACATTATTAATTAATTTTTAATAAAAACAAAATTCATTAAATTTTGTATTTCTTTTGACAAATATTATTACTCATAAGATGGGAATGTAAAAATACGTAAACTCATTTGAAGTCTTGCAATTGCTGTATTTCTTGCACAAAAAAAAAAAAAAAAAAAAAAAAACACCATTAACCTACCCATGCTATAACTATAACTAGAGATAGTTATAATTTTTTATTGTCATTCATGCATGAAGAGGTAATCTGTAATATATGTGTTAATTGTTTACTTTTAGGCAAGGAAAATAAAGTGCACTTTCTAAGTACAGTATTAGTTGTGTTATGTAAATGGATTAATTGAGATGAATGACAATGTTTTAAACTGACGCCTAAGCTACTTTTATAAAGAAGCTCAAACATTTAAACTTTAGTTACTTTATAAAGTTTTAATGGTTAGAAGTAACAGGGAAAACTTGTAAAGAAAAGAAAACTGTTGTCTCGCATAGCAATATTTCGTATTGCTCCCTGCAGCCGTTTAGTCGAAATGAAATTGCATTCTTATCTGTCAAATAAGCTGCTACTGAGAGAAACTTGACATCTTGAATCAAATTTTTACAAAGTGTTGCGGAAAGTCTCGGAGTTTTAATCTAACTATCTTGTTGCCTTTTTAATGCAGGTGACATTTATTAAATGATTTATAAGTATGAGATGTGATAAAATACGGAAAAGATAACAAGTGAACTTTTAAATTGAAGCAAACTTTATAATAACTTTGAAGTTCACAGAATACTTAAGCATATTGCAACAAATGACCATTAAAATTCCTTTATATAACTATACGTTAAAAACTGACTTGTATTTGGTATATTTACTATTTACTTGATAGGTTTCATGTATAAAACAATTATTTGTATGGTTCATGTATAAATACCCCCGCCGCAGCAAACCTGCTGACTAAGCAAATTTCCATTTGCCAGATCGGATTTACACTATAATATCTCCTTAAAAATGTCACATTTATACCTTATTTAAATAGCATTTGTTTAGAAAGTACATAGGTTTTCTGCAACGGGGGAAGTGTTTTTTTATGTTAATAGTTTAGTATGAAATAAATGCATTTTCCAAATTTAATCAAAATATGTTTATAAACAAGCAAACTACAGCAGTTTACTTATTCTCCATAAGAATAACATAGGAATTTTATATTAACAATTTTTTGTAATTTTTTCGTAACTAACGCTTATAACAACGCTTCAGTACACTTAATTATTTGTTTTTTTAGCTCTACAAAATAGTTTGGAAAGAAATATAATTTTTTTGTTTTAGGGTCAAAATTGGGGAAACTCAATTTTTACCCCATTAAACCTCCCATAAACCACCATTCCCATAGTCCAATCATGCTTTTTCGCGAACTCGTTCGAATCAATGTAGGTTTACACGTTTGTATCAAATTTCATCAAAATCGGATCATTTTTGCTTGTATTATCGTGCTAATGGGCTTTACATTTAAGTACGTATTTCCTCCACTTAATAGCAATATTCCACAATTATAAAAGCAAATAAACCAACAAAGATACTGATAAGTACTAACTAAACTTAAGCCATTTTAGACCGGGCTGTAACTATGGATATGCTGACGACATAGAGTAAAAGTTACGGTAGTTTTTCGTTCAATCATAGAAGTAAGACACATAATTGAACCCTCTTGAGCTGTATTACTGTTCTTGTCGAAAATATTATTTGCATTGTTAATGCAAGGTATTACTTGTTTCAGAAAGAGAACAAAATGGATCACAAGAGTTTGAGATGCAGGGGAGGGAGGGGTGGCTCAGTGATGGGGAAGGCAGGTTTCGTCTCACCAACACACCTCCCGAGGGACAGTTTCCTCTACAAAACGGTTCACATATTAAATTCGAGGCGCCCAGGGTGCCAGTTATATTCGTACTTGGTGAGTATCTCTTGACTGTTTGCTTTACTCGGCCTTTATAGTTTAAGTCTTATAAGTGTAGCACATATTAAGGTTTAAAGCATGTTACCCTCCTCTATTGACAGTTGTTCTCATTCGTTACAGTCTTAAGTCGAAATAAAACAATGTCCAAGATACTTTATTTGTCCTAAGACGCTAGGCACGAGCCCGGTATTTTTTTTCACATTACTTCAGGCTAGACCTAGGGGTTGCGGCATTATCACTTAGATAAAATCCATTAGTGATTTGGCGGGATTTGAACCCGGGACCTCAGGGACTGAAGTCCCGCGCTATAACCACTACACCAGCTCGCAGTGTCCAAGATACTAGCAACACATTTACCTCAAAGAAACTTTTACCTTGGGATGCCAGTTAAAATTCCCAACTCCACCATATTTTCTAATACATATTATGTAAATTTACAAAAATATATATTAATTCCAAAATATATATTGAATCGTACCTATTGCTTCCCAAACACAAAAATCAAATGGTTATAAATAAATAAATAAATAAAAAAAATAAAAAATATCCTCAGTTAGAGGATGAACGTGTGGATTTTAGCGTCTAAGCCAGAGCAGTGGCCACTTGAGGCCACTTAGGATTCAACAGAGTGCCTCATTACCACCGGAAACGAAGTGGTTATTGGCGGGAAATGGCTGCTCGGCATGGCTTTTGGCGGGAGATTCCTTTATACTGATATAGCAATATCACTTCTTATTGTTGCTAGTGACATTATTGGCGAGAAGAATTTGTTTTGTCACTGCGCAATGGGCATATAAATAGTTTGCTTTTGACAACACATTTTTTTGGCAGGTAAAAACAAATTTGTATTTACTTTATATTTTTAATTTTGTATTGGAGTATAATAGAAGAACAAATTTTGCAAGTATTGAAATAATCGTATTGTTTTAATTTAAGCAAAGTGTTCATATGATTTTGACTGCACTTCAAATATTTTTTTATTATTAAATCAGTACTATGTATTTTTATGTAAAATTATTGGTTTTCCTTCTGCTTGACCAAACCCACACATTAAATTGATTTGCATAACAATTTGTTATTTCATCATCATAGTAAGAAGAATTATTGCTAATAAAATGAAATCAAAGTGAGTCATTATGCATTTGGCTTGGTTAGCAATATTTATTTAAATATGAGTTTTAACTATGCTTCGGCAAAACCTACAAATACTAATTAAACCTCATTTTTAATGTTTTTATTTGTTAGGGGATGACCAAAGTACTGGCATTTTTACTATCTAACGTCAACCTTTTTGAAATAGCAAAATCAATTAATGGCCTAGTGGTAAACTGTATCTATGTCCAGAATCAATCTTGCTAGTAATTAACCCAGGGGTCTTTAACTATTTGGCTACCTGGACAAGTAATAGACATACATAAGGTCATCCAAATGTTAACAATATATTTGGTATTATTATGTATTGCATTTAAGGACCATTATAATTTTTTTTTTTCAAGAAAAAGTCCATAAAATTAATATAAGGTTTACTGAACCAACGTTTTTCCCGGATCCGACAAGTTTGTTCTAAAGGAAGATCCATTATCTGGAATAAATTGAATCAAAATCCCAGAGGATTTAATTATTGTAAATGATTGGAGTGTAATCGAATCCTTGGACCAATTACCAAGAACTTGACTTGCAGGAATCGTATTTCCAGTTGAGTAAAAAAGTCAGAGCTCGATAAACAATAAGAATATAATTCTTTCGAAGAGTTGGATTTTTGTAAAATCCATCCAACAAACGTAGCTTTATTTTGCACGGCAGAACACTCATACAACACATTCTAAAACAGGTTTAAATGTTTTATTTCACACGAAATAGAATTTGTATTATTGATTTGATGAATATTTACACAACTGTAAAAACATCTGAAATAGTTTCGTCTTAGAGTATCTTTTTTAAAGGTGTGTTTCCAATATTTTGGAAACAAAAAGTTTAATCAATGCGTTTTAGGTGTTGGTTTGATTAATCAGTTAGAAATAATTGTTGTAGATATTTGTAATTGTACAAATTAAAGTGTAAAAACTTTGTTGAAGATTCTTAAAAAAATATAAATAAAAATTTATCATGGTCACACAATTATGAAGAAATGATGGATTCCTTAAATAAATTATTCCTCTAATTACTAATTAATTTATTTCACTGAATCAGGTTATTTAGTTCCAAACAAGGCACCGTGGATTTATTACATATTTATGATATTTTACTCTGCTCATCACAAATATTTTCATAGCTCTTATTTAAGATTTCCTTTTGATGATTTATAGCAGTAATCATTCAACAAGTTATACCAATGTTGAACTACATAATGATCTTATGAGATAAAATAAAAAAAGAAATGACAAGGTCGTTTTACGGGTTTCTTGTTGAATGAAGACTTAATCCATGAAGCAATTAAGAAACAAATTAGTGCCAGACCCCCAATTTATAGACTAAAGAATGGGTCAAATCTATCCCAGACTTGGGTATCGTTCACAGAAATGTCTGACATTAAGAAATTTGACGCATTGCTAAGTACTATTGTGTAGATTTTAGTTTAAACATAGTCTTATTTAATTGTTATTCACTTTCATTAGTAAACCCAGTATCCAAAGACTCCATAGTATATCGATATCAATCGATAACAGCAATTAACCAAATAATGTCCCTTGACATACAAGCAACCTAAGTAGTTTACATTAATTGTATTCAATTTACAATGTATGAACTGGTTATTTAACATTGTAAGACTTCGTTAATATTTAGTATGAACTGTTATGACAGGTTTAGCTAGGGCAAAGATGCTGAAATTCACCATAAACTATTTTTTTTGTTAATGTATACATGGTGAAAATACTGACAAAGTGATAGTAGTTTACATTTTAATAAGTATCAAAATAATTAAAGTATGAATTCCAATCCCTTTTTAAGGGAATTATTTACTCTGAAATCTGTTAAAATAAAGGTACTCTGATCCTTTTCACCCTCTAGAAACCTTTAAAAAGCTAAACAAAGGCTTACAGTTCAGAAAGGCAATTCATTAACAAAAATATAAAAGAGCAAAACGACCAAAAAATGTTTCAAAGAGTAAGTAGACAAAAGGTAATAATATCTCGGCTACTCAAACTCAATATTGTTTGTGCCTGGCTCATTATCGAAGATAGGGTACTCAGTCGGCCCTTTGTTGTTATTACCAAAGTATTACCATTAGCCAGATTACAAATGATTTTCGTTGTTAGGTTTTACAATTTCTTTAAACACTCGTTTTGTTATAAAAACTCTGGATGGTTAGTTCATTCATTGTTTCTCCCTTGGTATTTCTTTTTATGAGAAGCTAATTACTTCTTATATGTAATTAGGCACTTAAAAAAGTGTCATGAATGATTTAAATAGAAATGTGTGCTCTTCATAAACTTTTCAATGTTTAAACCAACCAGTTAACTTAAAACAGCCCACCACAGCAAACCTGCAGATAACAAATTTCCATTTGCCTACTAGATTTCTACTAAAATATTCCCTTAATATTTGCCAGATTTATTTCTTATTGAAATAACATTAATTTTAATGAGTACTAAGGTTTGCTGCTACACGGAAGGTATTGAGGTTTGTCATTGGAATGTTGATAGCTTAATATGATATACACAAAATTGCCACATTTTCTTAAAATATATCCATAAACAAGCAATCTATAACATTTAATTTATTCTCCACAAAAAATGGGATTTTAAATTTACACTTTTTTAAGTATCTCCGTAACCATTGGGCATAAAAAAAACGCTTCAATATACAAAAATATTTATTTTTAATGCTCAAAAAAATTGTTTTGGAAAGATATTCTAAAAGGATTTTTTTTGTAAAAAATGGTGAGAATCCATTTTCACCCCATATAAACTCCGTTCCCATAGTCCGATTATGCTGGTTCGCGAACTTTATGATGGTTTACACGTTTGTACCAAATTCCATCATAATCTAATCATCTGTTACTCGAGTTATCGCGCTAACGGACACAAACATATATGTATATATATATATGAATTTGAAGAGGATTTGTTTTTGTGCTCTGGCGAAATCCAACCGAAAAATTAAAGTGGTCCCGGGTCTAGGTCTTATCATGAGACCTACGATAGCTTATTTCCTATTATGGGAAATTCTCTAAAAGATTACACTTATTACATTGTCAGTAAGCAATGAATAAAATATTAATTATAATGTTAAAATCTTCTGCATTTTATAAGAATGCAAAAGATTTTATATGAAGCTTATATAAGAATGCATCTACTATATAAGCTAATAACAGCTAAATTGATTGTCCCCGAAATGTTCAATGTGATTAACAATGTGCGTTAACATTTTGTTAAGAACATCAGAGTTTTTTGTTGGGGAATTCATAAAAAGGTTTGTCACCTAATGAAAAAAAACCGGAAAAACACAAGTTAAAATACCCCCGCCGCAGCAAACCAGCAGACTAAGCGAATTTCCATTTGCCTGATTGGATTCACACTAAAATGTCTACTTAAAAAACATTTATTTCCTATTTAAATAGAATTAGTTTAACAAGTATATTCAGGCTTTAAAAAAGGCTCTCCGAACTGTTTTTTCCCTTCACCGTCGTCAATCCTGCAGAGATGTCTTCAGATCACATAAAGTTCTAAATTTCCCTTCCATTTACATTTTAGAAACATTATCATTTATCAAGAAAACCCAATCATCATATAGCTCTCCAAGTATCCATAGTTATCGTCTCCGCAACAATTTCAATCTTTCAGTACCACGACACTCAACCACTTTCTTTCAGAAAAATTTCCACTTCAATGCAGTAAAACTTTTTAATGACCTCCCTCTCCCTTTGAAAGCCGAACAGGACATCGGAAAATTCAGGAAATTAGTTAAGTCCATGTTGATAAATAAGGTCTGCTACAGCGTCCGGGAATTTCCTGGTAGTCTTTAACCTTATTAAACATAAAAGAAAACAATTTGTATATAATGTATTTAGTAGTTAATTAATTTCATAAAAATGTAATCTCTTGACTTGGCCAATGCAATGTATTGTTAATCTGGTTGAATAAAGGACTTTGACTTTGACTTTGACTTTGAAGTACTTAGGATTGCTGCATCAGGAAGGGTAAAACTGTTTTTTTTTTGTAAAATGTTAATAGTTAGTAAGAAATAAAAACATTTTCCAAATTTTATCAAAATATGTTCATAAACAAGCAAACTACAACAGTTTACTTGTTCTCCATAAGAATAACATGGGAATTTTAAATTTAATTCTTTTTTGGATTTTCTCCGTAAGCATTAGGCGCATAATAACGCTTCAATATACTAAATTATTTGTTTTTTTAAGCTCTACAAAATGGTTTGGAAAGAAATTGCTAAATTTTATGTTTTTTGGGTCAAAAATGGGAAAAACCTATTTTTACCCCATAACACCCCCCGTAAACCCCTGTTCCCATAGTCCGATCATGCTGGTTCGCGAACTCGTTCAAGTTTATCCCGCCTTACACCTTCATACCAAATTTTATCAAAATCGGACAAAGATTACTCAAGTTATCGTGTGGATGGACACATATATATATATCTCTATATATAGATATATAAAAATTTGAACGATTGGTGTTTTTGGCCTCTCGGGACATCAAAATGAATCAGTAAATCGGTCCCAGGCTTAGGTCTTACCATGAGACCTACGGTAACAGCTACTTCCCTATAGGGAAATTCGCTAAAAGGAGAGAATGTTTTCGGCTTTGTACTCAAAGACGGATTATGACGTCAAGTCTGTTTGATCTACCCGAGAAGCAACTAGTCGTCGCGTGATGATCAACATTCAAACATTACACTTCACTGGAGACCGGAAGTTACGTGTTGGTCACCGGAAGCAGGGTGATTTGTAGCAAGTCGTGAATATCCACTGTGTGCAAGTCACGAGCCTTGACGATCATACAGGGTGTTTTGTTACTCTCTACCAACTTTTTACGGTATTGCTTCAGGCTTTATAACACATTCAAATATCACATTTAAATAGTCTGTAAGTCAATACAGTGGTAACTCAAAAGGCCACCATTTTGTAGTAAAAATATAGTTTTCTCAATAACTGTGTCTGTAGAACTTAGACATTTTTTCATGGATCTTAAAACCAGTGTCTCTAACTCATCAAGGAAAAACTTTTTCTAATGTAAAAATTCAGAATGACGGCTATTTGAATTTTTTGAACAATAATAACTAGAAAACAGTTGATCTTATAAAAAAACACTAGAATACTATTTTATTGTGAATTTTAAGACAAACGGAATTTTTGTGAATTTTTGTTACAAATTTTATGACACATCAACATTGAAGATCCAATAAAAGAAACGAGCGATATGTTTTTCGTGCGCGCCTTATAGTGCGTAAATGAAACAAAGTAGAGAAGGTAATTTTTTTAAATTTTACTTTAGGTTTAGTTGGTCGAATGTAATGTTATTCAAGTAATTAACCAAAAAAAATCATTAATAATAAAATTATATCAGAATAGAACAAAGTATCTAGGAATGGCGTTAGTTTGGACCATTGATGACGACACAGTGGGAGTTACAGGTTCACATGTTGGCGGGTCAGTGTAGCCTTCGGTTATCGATGTGGCTACAGACAGACAGATAGACAGACAGACAGCCGTGTTAACGCTGATTATCCTTGGCTCTCAATGCCACTAGAGTCCTCCACCCCCTCTTACCTCCCACCACTGTGTCCTCAGCCGTCACCGTGTCAAGGACGAGCGCTGTACTTGGACTTTATCGTACGTTAGAACTGTATTTTTAGACTTTTACCCTCTCCGTTATAAATAATGCCCTTTGGTTGATAGACTTAGGTGCTGTACAACTGGGTTAAAGTGGTTAATCTTTGCCAAATAAACCCTTTGTAAATGAACTGCTACTTTAAACTGGGGATTTAAGCTTCCACTCGACCTCAGTGAAAAATAGTCAAACTGCTGGTTTAAGAGTGTAATTTTAAGGAAACTTGAAAAACGTGATTTTGAAACCACCAGTTTTTCTTTATTTCTTTTTTTTCAAGTGACATAATTTCCTATTTGCACGTGATCGAGTTTATTTTGTTTGCAAGTTCAATTTCAAGGATTTCACTCTATCTCACAGTCGGAATCTTCAAATTTGCCTGGTTTTAGAGTCTAATTTTAGTGTACATGTGTAATTCTAGGGTTTCAACTGGTAAATTACATTTCCTTTTACCAGGTTTTATCCATTTATTTTCTTTCAAAATGATTTTACTGGTTTACATATCTCTCGTGGGAGGGCTACAATTTTTTTTAAATGCACTTTTATGCTTATTATTTTGAGTTTTCAATGTTACATTCTTTACCTCTACTTTACGAAATAAAATATTTGTCTTGGTATATTTGTGGATATAATAATGTCTGGAGAGCTAAACGGCTCATTTATTATATTATTATGTATATTTCAATAAGTTAGAATATTTTGAAACAAGAAATATTTAAAAAATAAATCCAAAATCTAACTTTAATATGTATGTATCCAGCTACATTTCAAAATTTATATCGAAGGAGGAGTTGTAAATTGAGCTAAGTTTATTAAACTAATGCCCTTAAAAATTAATAATCTAAATTTTATGCATTGGAAGAAAATGTACATTCTAAATACCTCTAATATCTTAAATATTAATTTGTAATCTTCCATTTGTAAGAATTTATTTTTTTACCGTAGGAAACTGTAGTTTACTTTAAATTAAACTTAAGTAGGTATGTTTTTTGTGACTTTATACAGATAATATTGAGACTTGAAAAACTTATTTTTATTTTTATTATTTTTATACTATTTGCGAATAATATAATATGTATGTTTGATGCTTTTAGATGATTATGGAGTGCTTTTATATTTAAAATTGGACTTGAGTATTATTTAAAATTATGTTGCTCAATATGTTTACCCAGAACATACTATTGTATCGCTTTGGAGTATTATCCCCTTTTGAAAACATGCCTACCATCCATTTGAACCATTTGACAGTAGTTTGGTCCAATTATTGCAAATATAATGTCTTTGTAACCATACTAAAAATCACATGCTTGGTATGATCTTCGTGGCGATAAACTATGAAGTGTACAACCTAAATATAACGAATTATTATAGTTCATTGTATGTAAAGTTCTTCAAATATTTCGTAAAATCTCATATACTAGAAGCTTAACCTTCTTAAGCAATTGTAGTAGCTTTAGAGAGGTTAAATTGCATTATTGTTTACTTTAAATTAACAGTGTTCTTGTAGACTGACAGCTTAAATGTGTTTATGCATACTTAGATAAGGGAAACATACTTAGTCTTACATTTCGTAACAAAGTATTGTTCAATAACTAAACCCACAACGAAAAATAAACAATAGAGAGTAATAAATCCATAATTGCTTTCCCACTATCCAGCCAACAATCACCAACTATTTGTCAAGCCGCGTTTGTCAGAATTCAAGGTAATCAGAATACCGTTTATAATGGCATCGAGGAGGTCAGTATTCAAAGGTAATGATATCATGGGTCGCTATCGGTATCGACTACTGCACTTGCGTGAGTCGAACAGAACAGGTGTCCAGCACACACGTGAGCGACCGATCGATACTGATTACTATCGATTATAATCAAATATTTAACTCGCTGTTATGACTAATCGTTCATCAGAAACTGATGATGTGTTGGTTTATGGGGAGTTTTCATGCATTCTAAATGCGCTTCGGAATATCTATCGGCACTTATTGACTTTAGGACAGTTCTTGTGTGGGATAATGAGGAGTAATTGATGATCTTGATATACGATAGCATCGTCATGTTTTCCATGAACTTCGTGACCTTTATAAATGAAAGTAGTGATGATTTTGTCAGGGCTTTGTCCAGGTGATGTATTTGTATAATCATACGTTATATTGAACTCAACAATTTTCCCTTCGCCGTAATTTTCATGATTATTCCATGTTAATCCTTTATAGAGCATGGTAATGTTTATTGATTTTGCACACACAGTCAGTGGCTAACCACCCAAAAAGTACTACGTATGGACAATTATGTTTTCAGTTTGTAGAAAATTTAGCAATAGCCATTTAAACATCATGTGTTATATTATTATAAAAACCAAACACTAAATATTGTGTTTTTATCATTGTCATATCAGCAGATAAGAGGAGGTCAATAAACTGACTACTGACCCTTTAGGTCTATCTTCGTTCATGAATGACCAGTGGTTAGTATAATGGCATTTACTTAAGATACAATATTAAATCATTAAATCAGTCAAAGTTAAGTTTAGTCATAACATATATAAAAGTACAGTAAAAAACACAAGATATCCAATAAATACATAATAAACTTCAATACCCCAATTTGAATATATTTAAGTTAGAATCATACATTCCAACCACTATACCAACTAACTATCCCCAAAACTCGCACTAAGTCTACCCATGGATACCACACATCCCTTAAAATTGCACAATCATAGTACTGCAAAAATAAACTTTTAATATTGAAAAATATATCCATTGAATTTCTGCAGTACTGCACACTATGACTTCCTTTTAGTGAGTTTCATAACTACCATTTTGTACTACAATACAAAATGGTGCTACTTATTTATTTCCTTTACAATAAATGTTTTCAGGTGGCCCAGGCAGCGGTAAGGTGACCCATTGTGACACTCTAATGCAAGAGAAACGTGGAGTGGTCCATATCAACATGACAGACCTTCTGCAGCAGTATACTGTCGGCAACGGTGAGTATAAACTAGTAGTATAAACTAGTTAGTATAAACTAACTCCTCAGTCGTCATACCTAACAGTTAGGTGCAACGATACTATAAAGGGTCACAGAGAAGTAATAACTACACGGGCATATAACGAGCAAATTGTGTTCGTTTATAATAAGCAGGTTTATGTTTGGAGTTCTTGTGACTCCATGTTTCTCTTCCTTGCTTTTCCTCTTCTTATTTCCTTCTCTACACACTTTGTATTTTTTATGTACCCGTATTTGGTACATACTCTGATAAACTACCAGTGTTGATATTACCCTCAAACAGAAAAGTTTCTTAGTCCATTAAAATAATTTTTCCTACAGTTACCTAAAAATATACATGTTTTCTCACTGATTTGAGAAAGCAAAGTGGCCAATTCGCTCATCAGTGAGACAATGTTAACATTGTCTCACTCCAGATTTGCAACGTGAAGACACGAAATAGTGAGCGCGTAACATGCAGGCAACGTCGTATGGGCGCGAAATACGTTGGCAGCACTGGCTGTAAATCAGCTGGTCAGCTGTTGTACTGTTGTATTTGTCACTTCACATTAAATGTTATATTAAAAGTTCACTTATGTGTAAAAATAGGTTATGTTTCTTCACCAATTTATTTGTTTTATGGTAACTGTAGGAAAAGTATAATGTGCAACTCGAGTTCAAAGTACAATTGCCTCACTCGAGAAACCATTCCTCACTCGCCTACGGCTCGTGAGTAAGGATTTCTCTCGAGTGAGTCAATTGCTCACTTTTCTCACTAGTTGCACAAATAACTATAATCTTGCTCCATGTATGCAACTACTGTAATAGTTACAAACTTTTGGAAACAAACAAGCCAAAACCATCTGGAGTATTTAAAAAGTAGCATTAATCTGCCACTGAACAACACTGATAGTTGCTTAAGTTGAAGTTACCTAAACACATAATTCAACGCATACAGCCTTATTAAAATAATAATGAATAAAAAACAAAAATAAAAACAATAAACAAAACATAATAATCAAAATAATTTAACTAAACTGTAATATTTTATAGAAAATTTGTTTTGCAGCTAAGTGTCAAGTGCTTAAAGTATGTGATCAATGCAAAATACCTTTTAAAAAGAACATTTACTAACTTTATTAAATTGTTTTTAAATTTATAATTGTAACTGAACTGAAGAACTCTGTTCTTAAATAGTATACACACTACTCACTACCTTTAGTTTAAAATTAATTACCTCTACATTAAAATTAAATAAAATTTAGTAAAAAAAAGCCACTGTAACAATTTTATTGATAAAATTTATATTAAATTAAGCTCAAGCGATGTAGAAATAAGTCATCAAAGGCGTTCGTCACATTTAAATTAACAAAGACAAGAACGATTAGTGGCCAAGTTCTCGCCGTTATAATCGCTAACGATGAAGAATTCCTCCCGAGGCCACCGAGCAGCTTTTGAAGTTTAAACGGTTTAATTGTAACAAAGCTCAGTTATTTTCCTGCAAAAGAATAAACACATTATTGTTCTTTATAGACATTGCGCATTTATAACAGGTTTTGTTCATTTTACCTTTGTGAATAATTTATTCTCCGTAACGTTAACAACTTGTAGGGTATTTTGTGGATTTAATTTTTTGCTGTTGATAGAAATAAACAAAATAAAAAATAAAGTATTTTTCAACATTTTTATGCTCATATACTTGCGTACTAATATTATACAGATGCTTTGTTGTTTATAGGTTTCTAGAATACAGCCTAATAAAGGTAAAATAAAATAAAGACAAATACTAAAATATCCCAATAGTATTTGTCATATTGCTTTACTTCACTCCTAAGAGGGCAAGTCCATTTTAGATTTTGTCGAGAGAGCTCAAGCATCCACTCCACTTCTATGGCTAAAACTGTAGCACCCTTGGAGGGAGGTTGTTATCTTTTTGTTGTAGTGTAATATAATAAATTTCCTATTTTTAAACTTTCATGGATATAGCATCACCAGATTTACTAAATGGTTTGTTGGAAGTTCAATGTTTCTAGTCATGCCTAGTTATGCCTGATGAATAATTATTAAGAACCTCTTATTAGATGCTAAAACTATAGTTAAAAATTTTAAGTAACCATATTTTAATACACTACATTGTTTAAGTAACTCACTATTAACGTTAACACAGGAGTATTCAAACATATAATATGCTATATCTTCGTTCTAAGGGTTTCGTGATCTGAGGGTTGGATGGTTGATAAGTAAAGATTTTAATTAAATTTAACATATCATTGAGTTTTATACGTGCTTTAAAGGGCTGTTTACAATTTTCATCTGGAAAATATTAATTTATTAGTTTGTATTATTTTATTGGTATGGTTAAAATCATAAAGGTACAAGAATAAAGTAGTCAACTCATTGACTGAATTTAAACAATCCTTTTCAGTTTTAGGTTAAACCAATTGTAAAATTAATTAATTTTATTTCACAAAGCGTTTTATCTCCAATCCGCGGGCATTTGAAAAGATAGTAGTTTGAAAGGGAAATTCGTAATGAAAGACTGTAAGATGTTCTATTTAAATATTCCTTGTCACCCAAACCATTAATTGCTTCCTTTTGGATTCATTGTCAATGGAAATTTTATTCATTAGTCTTTCCTTTTGCTTGTTTAATTATTGAGGAAAGGGTAACTGTATTGTGTTAAATTAGTTAATGCATGAAAAACTATTTTCATAAGGTTTATAAATGAAAATAGCACGGTTTTAAAATACAGTCTGGTAGAAAAGTCCCGGAACGGTATAATATAATTCTTACCAATTTATATGAAATTAACGAGACTTGTTATATCAATGATAGCCATAAATGTCTTCAAGGGGGGCGGCCCACGAGGAGTCAAACAACAATCTTAAAAAACAGCATAGTTCCAGTTTTGGTATTTAATTAGGGTCTTCGTCTTCCAAATACTCGCGGTCACCCCTTAAAGAGGTAGCGTATAATAGCAATGCAAAATCAATGAATCTTTGACCAGCTGTCATTTTTGACTCAGTTGTCCTTTTGTGTTCGGGTTTGTGGCAATGTCTTCTACTAAGGAAGACCTTTAAATGTTATACCAATCTCGACCTATGCTGTTGTTTAAGAATTCTGTCTGACCCCTCGTGGGCTCCCTTAAGGGACAAACAAGTGATAATAGGTTAAAAGAGTAGACACAATAACTTATGGCTGTTATTGATATTACAAGTCTCATTACTTTAGCTATATTAGTAAAAAAATATTTAAAAAATCCAGGATTTTTCTACCACACTGTATAACAACATTTGAACAGAATGTAAATCCATATTGTTTTAGTGGCTTTTGTAGCTTCATTTAAAAACTACTTAAATGTATTAGGATATAAAGAATCACGCAAGAATAAAAAAAATAGTAAAACGAGGCAGTACATCCACCAAAAAAAATTTTACTTTAGGGTACTAATTTTACGAAATAATAAAAATAATTTAAACTTTTTCACTGATATTGTAACATGGCAAATACGCCATGAAAATAGTTGTACTATAAATTAGATTGCTGAATATACGTGGATGTTGTCATTTTGATTGAACTAATCTGTCCTTCCATTAAAGTAAAAATGTCTCACTTTTTAAGTCTTGCCATTTGATTTGCAAAATTTATATGTTACCCAGGAATCTCCTTTTTAAAGAAATCGTTAAACGTTCTATTGCGAGTAGTTAACAATACTGCAAAAAAGAAATTATGTAAAACGCCATGTTTTCGGCACGACTTAACTCAAAAATTAATCATTTATGAAGATTGTTTTACGGAATTATTCGTGTCAAGTAGTGGTGTTAATTGAGTTATGTAGGTCGGGTTCCTCAGCTCAATCAAGACATCTCTCATCAGTCGCTGCTACTTATCTCACGCGAGGTGCCACAGGGATGTCGTATTAGTGGGGAGCGACGGGTTTATTTTAGACAAACTAGATCACACCTTGTGAACTGCTTCTCAGGGACTATATGATGATTTACATGTTCCAGCAGTATTCTGAGAATATACATAAATATAAGTAAATACATATTATGTATCTAGAATAATTTACAATGTAAATATGAGTGGTGAACAATAAATGTTTTAAATAATTTCAATTAAGATGTTCATATTCAAAACTTTTTTTATGAGGCTTTGGTCAAAATTTTGTTTAATATTTCAATTTATTAAATTTTAGTTTAATAGCCCTTAAAAGAAATTATATGGAGGAAATAATTTCTTTTCGAAAAAAAAAATACTTTAAACTATAATGTAAAAATCGTTAGACACATTTGTGAAAAACTTTAGATGTTAATATTATGCAGAAGTATATTAACTAAATGAACAAACAGAGGTTAGAAGAGGAGTTTTATTGGATTCGTTTGAACTATAAGCAGTGGTAAAACAGTACCAATTCTTTATGACATTTTGCTATTACGAGAGTACAGTATAAAGAATTGTGATTTCATGTAGAGCCTAAAACTGAACAAATATTAGACTCTCACTTGCAATAACATCGTAATGTAGGATGCATTTCCCTAAAAAAGTATATAACATGATATGAAAGACAATCCTCAATTAAAGCTCATAAGCAACTTTATATCAACTTACAGTTATTTTTGTTGTCATGTTCTAGATTTACTTTAAAATAATGATTATGATATTTATATAAATCTGTATTTTGTACAAATATTATGTGTAAAATAAAGAATCATTAGTTTATTTCGTTTTACAATGTACATAACAAATTCACATGGCATGGTTTGGTTATTCTAAACGAATTTAAGATATATGAATACTCAATAAGTTTTCTTACTCATCGTGGATTTTAAACATGATTTTTTATCTTGTTTTGTAATGTTGCCATTAAATAGTGTAACAATATGTTGTTCTGGTTAAAGTAGTTTTCAGAAATATAATAATATTCTAATATTATTATTTCGTTTAAGGAAACATTTGACAAAGGATCCGTAGAAACAAATTATTCATTCATATTGCCTGCCAAACAATGAACAATTGCCAGCGAATCAAATGGTATTTAACTTGTAAAGTGATTGTTAAAAACTCGTGTTTTGTTTTGAATACACGAGTGAAGTACGAGTGGTTAAGCATTGTTGAAACAATTAATTGTCAGAATCTACTAATTCAATTGTTTGTCATAGTAATTATTACAGTATTCAAATACTTACGCCTTTTTAAAAGGTTTCAGAGTGGAACAGTTTTGCATTTTGAAAATAGCTTTTGTTGAATAAAAATGTTTATTATGCGTATTTCATTGCTTTATTAATGCAGCTACATAAGTTATTTATTTGTCTCGTTGTTTTATTTTATCGTTGTCCAGGACCAATTAAATCTCGGTCATATGCTTACGTAAAGGAATCGAGAAAGATATTTTTTTATGGACCGCGCAAAGAAAATGGCAAGCAAAAAGTCTTGGGGGAGGAGCTTTGTTACCCTAATGTCCTGCAGGGCGATTAACTTGAAGTATAGCCTGTTCCTTGTCTACTTTAGGATTGCGGCTTTGTATTTATTTCATTTAATAGAGAAAAGAGTTCATAATGACCATGACCTCTCTTAGTACATAATATACTGTTACATTTTTTAAACACAGAAACGATTTTGTAAATAGTCATGAAGTAGACACGACAAAATGGATACTTACTAAGCGTGTGTGATTAGGTATGGGTATAATGAAACACACATATTACTTATTGAACTAGCTGAAATCAGCAACACTTAGTATTTTACCAAATAATTTGTTAATACAGGTCATTACCCTGTTCTGTTATAAAATGCTCTCAGATTTGTGTTAGACATCTTACAATTTTAGTTTTGTCTGTCAGGTACTTTATTTTAGCATTTAAATAGATCTTGAATAATTATACGTTTAAATGGCTAACGAATCGTCAAATAGAACTGGAATGATAATTTAAAATCTACTAAATATTTAAATTACTTAATAAAAGATAATTATATCTCATCTGTATTTGAGTTACTATGGTACTTAAAACTAACATGGTTTTATAAATCATCATCTCATACATAAAAATCATAGAATCCACCCGATAAGGTGTAATAAAATTCTATTGATTGTGAAAAGGGTAAACAACTTAAAACATCAACGATTTGTATAAATAAAACTTTAAGAAGTCATTTCATTGCACTTGCATATTGGTTTGTGTTACTTAAATATTAGGGCCTTTAATTTTATACGTAATCAAACTTTTGTCAGCAACACTTATAGAATTTATGTGAGCTTAAGGACAGATAACTTAAGTTCTGTCAGATAACTTAAGATGAAACATATCTGGGCTGCAGTTTGTTTAGTAGTATAATTTGTACATACGACAGTAAAACCTAGCAAACCTGGATCTAACTTAGCATCTCTTCTCAACTTACGTGACATACGTCAGCTATAGCTAACATCTGCTTCAGACACTATTTATAATGGAGGTTGAAACTTTCGAAGGACGTGTTGAATTATAATAGTCTCTTTAATAATTTAATACTAATATACCACTTAAATGAGATCTCATGGTTCGTAGAATCTTTAAATTTACTTCTTACAGGGTAGTTCAATACGATACAACGTGAATTTATCCGCAAAATAAAAGTGCCGTGTGTTGTAGCATGGAAAATAAAATGTTAAAATAAAAAAAAAAATAAAAAACTATGATATAAGTAGGTACCAAATAATTTACAAACAAGATTGCAGAGTATTGCAAAGTAAATGATCACTGTTTCACAGTTTTTTGTCCGTGGTCTGCGTGTACTGTTAACCAAGTGACATCCGGTCTATGTGTAAGATTTAAATGTATACCTCGGCCCGTAGCAATGATCTTGGTTTTGCAGAGAACACATTTTAGATCTGCTATATTTCTATCACACTTTATCACAAATTGAATACAATGAGTATTAAATATAATGTTTTTGTGTAGCAGATATGAAAGACTTCAACCAGCTGTCCAGCAAGACCGTCACCGAGGTTTTGATGCTGGAGATCAAGATGGCTCCGGCAGCTAAGGCCTACCTAGTGTCTGGCTACCCTAGGAATATGCGGGACGTAGTGGAATACACCAACAAGGTAGACTTAATGACACTTCATAAGATATCATATTGAATACATAGTTCTAAAATACAATTAAACTAACCTTTTGAACAATAATATTGCAAAATATTTAGCCCGAATATAAACTACATAACGTTAACGAAGGAATGTATCAAGTGAAGTGATTTGTTTTGTTACTATAAGTGTCAAAGGAGCTGATGAGTAGGTTAGTATTGTACCTACAATTAGAAGGCCTAAACTATCCGACATTATTTGTTAGGGTGGATAGGGATCCACCCTAACAATCCCAACTGAAAAACCTTCTCTACCTACATAGTTACCTACTAACCTTACCTAGCTTGTCAACCCCAACATATTTACCTGTTCTACCTTCCTACCAGCAAACTTACCTAAAAACGCCATCTACCTTACCTACCCCATGTACTCTGCCTTCACAACCCACTAGTTACCTACCTACCTATTATCCTTAACTAGGTATATTACCTCACCTACTTCATCTCCCTTAGCTACTCTTACTACACTTTATTTTCCTCATACCTAAAAGTCCAATTTACCTTGCCAACTCAACCTACTGTCTTCTCTAAAAAACCTACTGACTCACCAAAAGTTACACCGCAACGTTAAAAAAATATAACATATATTCAAACTAAATATTCCACTATCAGCCACTGTTTCAGGTGGTGAAAATGTAGTGTAACGGAGATAAAGCAATAGTTTATAGCAGCTAACTCCAGCTCTGTGTGGTTTATTTAAATTGCACCCTCTCTGATCCCTAACTACCACAAAGGTAGAAATAATTGATTAAATGGCAATGGAACATGTCTCATAGAAGATCAAAGGAATACAGGAACAGGAATGCGTTTGTGTATTGCTAGAAATTAAGGTTTTATTTCAATAATTTGAGTGTTTTAAGCTTTTAAATAAAGGTATAAAAACTATCTATGACAATTTTAAACTGGATTTGGCTCTTTATGCTTACAAAAACTTTAAAAAAGTTAAACAAATTGTTTTATTTACTTTAGTTATTGATCGGTTGGCTGATTTGCGATATTGGATTTACGCATTAACAGACAACACTCGATACAACCTAATAAGGTTAAATTTGCTGGGACAACATACCTACAAACTCTACCGCAAACGTTACCTAAACCAATTAAGGTCTTGTGTAAATGAAACTGACTCTGGTTAAACGTAGACTAACCTCGTGCTTTCAATTAAGCTGGGCTGGGACATCTAGTATACATTATTTCAAGGAACCATTTAATACAATGTACATAAGGTAGTAAATAGTTTTTGTTCAAATTGATTAGTTTTCTCCTAAATTTGTTAATATGTAAAGCTTTGTGTGGTCAAATAAGTATAATAAATAACAATATCTTTCAAAAAATCTATTCCAAGCATTGCATAAAAAATATATATGTATATATAATCCACAAAACATTATTATTGAATATTTAGAGGATTATGGATTTGGCTATTGACATGTTGATTTGTGAACATATATGGAATGTATATGGACAATTTAGAATTTACATATTCATTTAATAAAAGTTTGATTTATTGTTAACATGATATACATACATAATTTAAATTGTGTACGAATGTTAATTCTTCTGGAATTTCATAACATACACATCTCAGTCAAGCCATATGGCAATCCTAATAGTTTTTGTCACATTAGCATCTATATTGGCATCTATAGTTGAACATATGACCGATGAATTCCTACACATTTCCATATGCATGTAAATGAAGGCGCTCCTAAATGTGTTTGATTACATGACTAATAATCCAAAATCCAGCACTGGGTATTTAATAATACACGGTACAGAAAAAACGTGTTATCAACATTTACCTAATAATGCTGTTTGGGAGCATAAGCTGTTTCAAGCTAATTAATAAAAAAACCAGAATGACGTCATTTGCTTAGGTAGTATACAATGTACACATATTTGATAATTTGGAGAAATAACCGCTGTTTATTAGAGGAACATTTCTAAAACCTTGTTTACAACAAAGGTTACGTTTCAAAGTGGAATTCAGCCTTTTAATGCGTGTATATATTTCGAACTTAAAAAAGGGAGAAAAACACCTTTTACACACCCATGATGAGGATTAAACACATTTTTCATTAAAGTTTTTTAGTGAAGCAACATTTCTCTTGGCATAAAATCCGTATATACTGCTTTTATAAAAAAATATGCATGTTATGCATGTACTGTTATGCATAAACAGGTTATGCTATGATAACTGTTATACAGTAATTTACTACAAACGTTACAGTATACAGTAAGTATTACGTGGTTTAATGGTTTTTGGTGTTGTATTTAGTAACGATTAGAGTGACAAAACTATAATCTAATATTGACTTTTCAAAAGACTCTTCGTAACTTGGTTGATAAGCAATTAGTCAATGAAGGAGTTTTTGAACATTCTTTAACATTGAGGTTGTTTTCTAATTATTCGTCGAGCTCCTTAATCACCAATCCATAATTGGTTTTCCATAACTTTTACATCCCCGTCAACATGATATCGGATTCTTACATGAATGACAGAAAACCATTTATAATTTCAAATATTCTAAAAAACCCAATAATTAATCATCTACATTGTCTTGTTAACATGAATTTCAATGTTACTTTGTAATTCTGTTATAGCCATCGATGTAATAATAGAGATCGATGGTTATAGCATACATAATAGTGATATAGCATACATTGTTACGTATCTGAGTGTTGACGTTTACATTGCTAAATTAACCAGAATCACTGGACTGATCCTGAGAAAAGTCAATAAACTTATGTGTTTATAAATTTGTAGCAGTTGCATTTTGGTCCTGGCAAAAACAGCTGATCTTATAGTTTCTAACACAGCTATATACTCAATTCATGTTAGAGTTAAAATGAGCCTTAGTCGAGTCTCCATTTTACAAGTGATATTCCTATTTTTAATCTCCATTCCAGATCCAGATAGTGAGTGGTGTGATCCTCGTAGCCTGGAGAGAGAAGGTACTGGAGAGGCAGATAGACTACGGAGCCAAACTAGGCCACGTGGTACTTAGCCTGGCTCGTATGGAACTCTCCAACTTCTACAAGAACGTCATACCAGTAGCAGACTACTACGACCAGCGAGGAATGCTGATAGCTGTGAGTATTAGTTTTTTTTTTTCTAAACCATTTGATAATCCATTTTTGTCCTTAGGCACGAGCTCGGGATTGTTTTCACATTACTTCAGGCTAGACCTGGGGGTTGTAGCTTTATCACTTTGATAACATTGTAATTCCAATGGATATTTTCTAATTCAAAGAAAAACACATTAGTGATTTGGCGGGATTTGAACCAAGGACCTCATGAACGGAAGTCCTGTGCTCCAACCACTATACCAGGTCGCTCCCTCTATGACATTCTTAGGCTATGAATGAGTAAATAACAGATCTAGTACGATTTCTCCCAGGCGAAAGCATTGTGTACTGCATCTATAAAACAAGTATGTATGCATCGTCAGGCCCAACAAGTTATGGTATGAAAACACCATAACAAACTATTCAAAAGAATAGTTCCCCAACGGGGAAGATCAAGATCTTATATTAGGACCGATGATGGCAATTTATTCTGCCGAAATGCATATCCTGTAATAGGACACAGCACATAAGGATCGACTGGCGGACACAGGTAACTTAACCTTTTATTGTATTCAAAAGACCTTAAAATGTTTTGAAAATATTATATTCTCAGCCACACGTATGGAAAAAATACGAGAAAAATTTGGAATTGATATAAGTTTGTATATATATAATTGACATTTATTACGATTGACTTATTATCGAGTGCAGTATTGACAATATATGTGAATATCCATGCATAGAAAGCTTTACAGCTACACACTCAGTGGTCCAACTAATCTCACTCCATCTTCAATACAAACATCGCCTCGTGATTCCATTTCTGCCTCGAAACCGCTGATTTAGACAATGTTCAGCGGAGCGTAGCAATCACTCTCTGTATTCATTGACTCTTGTTTGTATATTGTTTTTAAAAATATCATGTAAATGTTCATAAGCATGTTTATTAAACTTTAACTAAATTGGCAACTGAAGTGTTACTCTATGTTTTATACATAGATAGTGTAAAATAAAATACTTAAACCAGTGATCTATAAACTAATCATTTAGATTATGTAGATGACAATTTGAGTGTATTAATATGAAAATTACGCATAGCCTTCATTTCAATTTGTAAGAAAAAATACCGTAACGTTTTTGTGATAAGGATATATTTTTTATTAAGGAGTATTGTTGAGGTAATTTTTACGGTGCTTAAGTTCCCCAAGTACCCAAGGTCAGTCCTAACCTATACAATTTATAAATATATATATGGCGAAATAAAATCAAGAACTAACTTAAACTCATTTAATTATAGAACAAAATATAACATATATATATATATATAAATATATATATATATATGTATATATATATATATATATATAAAAACAATATACAAACAAGAGTCAATGAATACAGAGAGTGATTGCTACGCTCCGCTGAACATTGTCTAAATCAGCGGTTTCGAGGCAGAAATGGAATCACGAGGCGATGTTTGTATTGAAGATGGAGTGAGATTAGTTGGACCACTGAGTGTGTAGCTGTAAAGCTTTCTATGCATGGATATTCACATATATTGTCAATACTGCACTCGATAATAAGTCAATCGTAATAAATGTCAATTCTGTTTCAGAAGTTCTATGTATATTTATTATGGATAAAAAATCTATAGCCACCGTATCACGTATTTATAATATAAGCGTCTATAATAAAAATAAATATTCAAAACCTTATTGACTAAATATAAACCATTTTCGCGTAAACAACTGACATGAATGGGAAACGTCGTATTTAAATATAACTGCATTAATTAATTGGAAGGAGAACAAATTATTGCGAAATGAAATATCGAAAAACATTGATATTGGTTTAGGTATTATTTAAACAATTACTGTTTAAAATGCAGTTATAATTATTCTGGATTTACACGTGGATTGAGATGGTATCTTCGTTTGTATAAAAAAGGACATGTTTGTTTTCACAGTTACAAAATTTCCTGAATATATTTTGGGGTTACGTAACGTTTTTTCTTATGACCCGTACAAAGCCTAATCATAGCAATAGCATTTCTTACAAAACAGTAATTAAACTCATAAATCCAACTGTATGAATTGAGAGAGTCAACAAAGCGTCCTAGCAGAGCTGCAACCATTAATCAGCTGATCGGCATATGACTACGTCAGCACACATCAAACACGTCAGGTTCAAAATACGTCGTTGTTTAAGTCAAAGATAGTGCAAACAATGACCTAGACGTATGCATTCTTTTCGCTACACTACTGTGAAATGACCGGTTTTCGTTATATGTTTATCACCTACGAAAATTAATCGTTGCCTTGATTACTACTCAAAAAGAATGTTTACTATGCGGAAGTGTTTACTATCTTTTTTAGGTTTTACCGTCGTAAACAAACCAAGATTATTTATTGTTTTGTCAACTGTTTCAATTTGCAACAATCAAAACGATACGATCAATGTAAATATTAACTTTAAATTAAAGGCATAACCTAAAAATGCTATAAGTTATGTAAAGTTCCTAACCGTAATAAAGAAATATCCAACGTTTGTTTTAATAAAAAAAATAAAATAAAAAACTAGACCTCCACAGCGTTTAAATAAATACCATATCCGAGTAATGATAAAATTTATGACTTTTGATTGAGTAATACAATATCTTGAACCTATCTGATTTAAACAATCAATATCTCAAATTTCAAGCCAACAGTTTACTGATTACTTTGAGGCTAAAACATAAAAATAAAACATAAACAATACTGGAGCTATTGATTTTTAATCATAGAACATTTTTATAAAAATTATTGTTATGTTGTTTGTTCACCTTGCGTTTGCTTAAAACTCGTCCGATTTGAATAATTAATTTCTTCTGCTTTTCTCATGGATTTTTATTTGACTTCATAAAGAAAAGCTTACGGTGATTTAAATACAATTCAAATAATGTTTACTAAATAGGGGAAAAAGTAGCACTATATTAACGATTTCCTACCAATACATTATTTATCATTGCTATTTTCGTTGTTAACTGTATTTATTTTGCTATACATGAACTATCAATTATTTATTTTTATAACTATGCAATTAAATAAATGGTCATGTCACAGTGTTAACCCTTTAATAGTCATTAATGGAACATTAATCAATGATATATTTAAATTTATATGATATAACTCAATTACTCTCTTTTAACTAATACATTTTCAATATTATGACAATATTAGTTTCATCATAAGTGCGCAATTTCTCTCTTTTTTATTTTGATTAAAAACTTAATCCTTAATGTTTATAAATTAATTGTGTGCATAGCGTTATGTTGCCAAAAAAGAAATACAGGTAAAAAAAATTAAATATTTTTCAAAAATATTCAGATTACTTAGTTTTCCATCCATAGTAGTTTGGAATTTGACATGAGTAGTAACATATGTTCTATAACAACGTTACAATATACATTTTTAATAACTTTTATCATTTTGGATCTTGATATGCATTCAACAAGGTTTGTACTCGTCAAAAGAAAACTTTTGGTTTTGCAGTTTTTAAGATTATATTCTATAAAAAGCACAGCTAAGACTCAAAAAAATATCTGGTTTTACAATACCTTTATCAGTTCCAAAAGTAACTTTCGTCAACGTGTGTTACATGTTTCGGCGAGCTGCCATTGTCAAACACTTCAATACAGCTCGTGTACCGGCAATGTTGCATATTCATGATAGGCCTATCAAACTACATTTTTATTGTTTTATGTCGTACGTGTCGTGTATAATGTTGTATGTCCTGTAATGTGTTGTGAAAACGAAGCTATTCAAGCGGATCTACATCTTCCTGTATTGAAGTGTTTGACAATGGCAGCTCGCCGAAACATGTAACACACGTTGACGAAAGTTACTTTTGGAACTGATAAAGGTATTGTAAAACCAGATATTTTATATATTACAGTTCCGGGGCTACAACAATGAATTTTAAGACTCAAAAGCTCATATATATCTAATATATTTGTTCAGTAAAATGTTATATGACTTGAAGCGCCAAAGTTGATTCAATACAGCAAGTTGTACAGAAGTTGAAGCTGTGAGCAGATAAGATAACGTCCATACCAGATGGTTCTTGTGGCTTTAACTAACGGAACCCTTAAAGCTGTATGTTCAACAGTTTACAGCATTAGCTAAACATTTCAACCACACTACTAACCTCAGGCTGGTTATCATGAAATGTAATGGCTTATAACTTTGGTAAAATGTTTTAAAATACTGTTGCAACTAAACGGTTATGTAGTTAAAAAGATCCCAGCAGGTAATTTGGGGTTTTTTTTATAAAAGTGAAAGAGGAGAAATAAGAAAACCTAGTGTTTTTTTACCAGTTACTTATGTTATTAAATTACACTCTGTAATTTACTTTCATCAAACAAAATATTTAGGATTTGTTATCAACAGACCTTTTAACTCAAAAAATGCAAAAAATTATAGGAAATTTGATTGTTAAATACATTTTTTACATTTAAGAGTTTGTTTTGTTTTCTAAGAACAATGCCATATCTACATAAAAAAACTTTTAAATTTTTGATATGGATGAAATTTGCAAACCTTGTCATACTAGTTAAAGCATGCATGATTGTAGGGTTGGGATATCAACTAATCAAGATTTACTTAAAAGCAATTTGTCAGTGACCAAAATGATAAGACAACGTTTTGCCAATTTAATTTAAACACAGCGTTTTATTGAAACACACCACGTTTAATATTTTAATCCTTTAACCAATTTCAGTCGTCATAGTTTAAAAGACACTAGGTTTACCAAACCAAGTAATATTATGTATTCCATTTAGCAACGTATAACTGATTACCGTATTATCGTATATTATTATTAAAAACGTTACTTTTAGTAATGAAACATGTTTTTGTGGGAAAACACTGTTTTTACAGGTCTCACTAATATGTTTAGCTTTAACCATCGAAGCTAAGCACTTGAATTATCATACAAACACTATAGAACGTATTCTTTCTGGAAGAGATACTTGACAATTATTGTGT